CCAGCCTCGGCGGCCTCAGCGACGTCAGTCAAAACTGTTGCTGTTTTCTCTGTCAGATCTTCCTTTATCACTTTATTACTCACCGCTTCTGCCTCCGCGGTACGATCTCCTTTTCAAAGCGATGAGCGTCGAACATAACGGCATTTAGTATTCTCACAATACTTTAGTGTGATTGAAAGTATGTATGAGTATGTAGTAAGTAAGTAAGTATGTATGTGATCGATTGTACTGAGCCCTCTCCTAAACCTTGCTTGCTCGTATGACTGCCCTCCCTTTATCTGGTATCCTGCCAAACCTGATAGTGATTACTCGTGGGAGAGGTTTATAGGTTACAGACGGCAGGCAGATTGGGCGATATTTGCCAGTATTGTAGGGATCTCCCTTCTTACACAGCAATACAGTCTTGCTAATTTTCCGCGACGTGGGCACTTTGCATTCCGACGGCTACCGCGTGAAGAGTATAGCCACAGTCTGATTACAACTGATGAAGACTCCTTGGATGTTCTGGTTTGATCCTATCAGAACCTGCGCGGTACGACTTTTCATCGATATGATGGCTTGTCGAATTTAGGAGAGAGAACCGAAAAAGCGATAATATCGATCTCGCCTTAGATGGTAGGTATGCAGGTAGACATGGCTGTCGAAGAGATTCGAGTAGAAGTCGTAGATGACCTCGTAGTCGTAGATGACCCGTCTTGATCTTGTGATTGACAAAGCTCCAGCGCGTTTCGCAATTCTTCGTCCCGGCCTCGGCGGCTTCGTCCATATTTCGGCTCTTCTCTCTTTTTAAGATTCCTAATCTTCTTTTGTCACTTTTCTGCACAGCTTCGCATTTGCGGAGGTCTGTTGGTGATCGCCTGTAGCTCGTGCGATTTCACGCCGGCGTATCAGCTCAAGGGTCCTCAAAGAGAGACGCTTCTCGGCATCTTTGAGACTCTCTGCTTTCACGACCCTAACTTGAAGAGGTTTGATGGTTGTATACATCATTAATGTTGCCGTTAACGGAACCTTCTTCCAAACTCGCAGGTAAAGCGAATTGATCCCAGTATATTCTCAATCGCAAACGTCCGATTCGGGTTGCCAAGCTTTCGTACGGATCGATATTCATGGCCAAGTGCGTGTTGACGAGGACACCTACTCCGCCGACGCCTTTGCTGTCGCATGTTTCGAGGAACAGTTCTTCTTAAGCTTCAGAAGTGGCATGCAATGGACGCTGCCTTCGTCTTGGCGGTCCGATGACGTCGTACTTGACCTTCTTATCTTGCATCTTCAGATCTTCGATGCACGCTTCCGATGCAAGCATTGGAAGTAAAGATTACCATCTTGGTCCTTCTCCTTTTAGGCAGCCTGTCGGCCCTGAGATTTTAGCAGCCTCTGCCGAGTGTACCGGCCCCTAACGCTGCCGTATCAGGGGCCCCCTCAGCTTGAGGGGGATGGGGCCCATTTTATTACTGTTTTTGGCATATGAATATCCTCGTGTGGCTTGCCAGGCTCTAACACGTGGGGGAACCCACTTTTAACCGTGTGAACATGCAGAGGTGCCGTTAAAATTACTTACATTTTTTATATAAATACGATTGAAAAGGATAATGAAAGCTCCAAGCGAGAATTCCATGGAACAGTAGAAATCGTTGGCGAAAGCTTTCGGACCATACAAGCCTACATCTGATGGTAAGACGAAAGCATGTGGCGGGGCAACAGGTTGCCTTGTTTTTGGTGGGGAGGTATTTCTCTGAGCAAATCCTTATCCTCACTCCAGAACGCAGTGATTCAAACGTGATGCATCGGGACTTGCTGTATGCAACTTAACGCGTGAAAACGAATTCAACAGCGACCTCGGGCGGACAGATAAGGGGGACTTAAGCAAGGAGGGTCGCCATCCCTCCAGTTCCTTGACGACTACCTAACCCATCAGCTTTAAATACGAGGCAGCAAGATGGTCAATATAAGCCTCGTTTAACTGGTAATTATTGGAACTTTGCACTGGAGCTCATAATGAAATACTAAAAAAATTTACAAAACCCTTTTTTGCATAAATAAGAGTGGTAAAGTAAACAAGCTCACACGCCATTCATTTCACCCACCCATCGCGTTGAGGTGGTAGTCCAGGGGAGTGTACGATGTAATACCTTTGCACTGGGCATGAGAGGGTTATTCGATCTCACTTCCATCGCCTCTCTTGATAAACTCCGTAGCATTTCCATTGCCAGCACTCTGTGATAGCTTTCATCTCACCATTTCGCTCACGTTGAACCTCTTCAGATGTCCAACTTTCTTTGTGATTTTTTGTGTTAGATTTCTCGCAGCGTTGTGAGATATGCAAAACAAGCCATAAAATAGGCAAAGAAATTTTGGGAAAGCTGGATCTTGGGCTTTCCCAAAAATTCTTTGCCTGTTTTATAGCTTGTTTTGCATATGTGGATACTCTTATGTCTTGGGGAAATACGACGAGATTCATATTGTCCTTGTAATGATGCCTTCTAGAGAGTGTCTCATGTCGCTAAGGAGAAAGTCCGCAATGTGAAATGGGATTCCGGACCTATCTCGATTCAATCATTGTTAAAGATCTTGTATTCACAATGGCTTCGACGACAGTAGAAGTAAAGAGACCTTCGAATGAAAGCTTTATCTTCTGCAAGATTTTTGGAAGGCTTTCAGCGACTGTCCTAATTAGAAAGTCCTAGGCTCATCCCTTCCGGGTCCGCCGAGTAGATTGAATATCTGTAAGGTCCTGTTCCACTAAGTTTTTTAACATTGTGCAGAAGGCATATTGGAAGGAAAGGTTTCTCTACACGAGAAATTCTACGAAAGCTGTTTGAGAATCCCCCAGCAGACATGTGCTTTATAGCTTCGGAATGGATCTCTAAGCGCCTCTGTTGTTTCGACCCACACTATTTATGGTTCTTAGCAGTACCAGAACCAATCCTTTTTTTGATGGACATGGGAGTCATCCACAATGAAATAAACCTTATCATTTTCAACCGAAAGTTTGCCTGCCTGGCTGTTGTTCCCGACGTCGATGTTGCTCCCAAGCTCTATACGGGGTCAGGTCATCGTCTCCTCCGCTCTAGATTCCGTTTTCCAGTAAATGGAGAGAGAGCTGGGAAGTTTAGGAAATGAAGCTCAAAGACTGTTGTCAACTGGGATCACTTCGATCCACTTGCTAGTTTGTAAAAAGATCCCGTTAACGACAACATTCATGATGTATACAACCGGCTCGTAGAACATCTACATGATAGGGCAAAGAAAGCAGAGAGTCTCAAAGATGCCGAGAAGCGTTTCTCTTCAAAGACCCTTGAGCTGATACGCCGGCGTGGGATCGCGCGAGCTACAGGCGATCACCAACAGACCTCCGCAAATGCGAAGCTGTGCAGAAAAGTGACAAAAGAAGATTAGGAATCTTAAAAAGAGAGAAGAGCCGAAATATGGACGAAGCCGCCGAGGCCGGGACGAAGAATCGCGAAACGCGCTGGAGCTTTGTCAATCACAAGATCAAGACGGGTCTTCTACGACTACGAGGTCATCTACGACTTCTACTCGAATCTCTTCGAGAGCCATGTCTACCTGCATACCTACCGTCTAAGGATAGATCGATATTGTCGCTTCTTCGGTTCTCTCTCCGAAGTTCGACGTGCCATAATATCGATGAAGTGTCGTACCGCGCCGGTTCTGAAGGGGTCAAAGCAGAACATCCAAAGACTGTGGCTATGCACTAAATGCCGTTATGTTTGACGCTCATCGCTTTGAGAAGGAATTCGGTGCTGTGGAGATAGGAGCGGTGATTGACGTCTTTGGCAACCACAGTGTTACTATCCAATATATAACGCCTTATGAGCTCTACGACATTTCACGACAAGAGTTGTGCTCTGAACCAAAAAGTTGTGGTGTCACTGAAACACAGTGGACTTGGAATTATTCATTCAAAGAACCAAAACACTCATATATTCTCTTATTCCCTATCATACCTATACCACTGATTCTAATTCGTTCTTCACTGCTACACACCCTCTCTCATACTACCTCACACCTCGCTCTAGTGACCCATCAGTTACTCATGACGGGAGACCAATTTGTCTGTAGTGCTGGATAAACAACGAGAAGTTAACTCGATAGTTTATTACCCGATCAAATTCCAACGTCATCACGTTGAGTGCGTGCGTCAGCGCACTCCTTACCATTTCGACCTCCACGGGAGGGCTGTCTCTTCCAATTCTTCTTCTACTCTCCACTCGAGCTCCTCCAATTCAAACGGCTGCTTCGGCACGTGGTCCCATACGGGCTTCTGCTCCTACTCTTACTTTGGCGTCGGCTACTTCCGATTCGATAGTCATGCATGTCTTGCGTCAGTTTCCGGGTTTGGTTTTCTTCCTTTCCCTCCACTCCTATCGCATTTATCTTCTTACGCTACCTTTTCCACGAACTCCCTCATTTTTTCGGTTGCCTGTCGCTTTGCGAGCAGCGCAACCCATCCTGCCCTGCGGGACCTTCACTGTCCAACCTGCTCTGTAAATCCTGTTCTGCACTGCGCCTAGGATCCTTTTGATCCATTTTAACAACTCATCATCTATTGATTCGAAAAGAAACACCTGCAGCTTTATGCAGGTTTATCTATGTGTGCTCGAAAACTCATATATCCCGATAATTGATTGTGTTGACTGTACAAAAATAGCAGTCGTAAATACATAGAAGTTCTAAAGAACGGAGGACTTCATGGGAAAAGAGTGTTCTGCCAAGGGAAGGGTATGGGGTATTGAAAGTAGGCAATCCATGTTAGGCTATAGGCTAAAAAAGTGATGTAGAAGGAACCTGATGTTGACTCTGCGGTCAAGAGTGATATCTGTTGAAGTTATCTACTTCTGAAGGACTGACAATATTTATGAAGATACAGTTATCACAGATAATTTTTGAACCATGATCAAAACCACCGTTTGTTGTCATTGTCAACGTATCGTCAGTTCATTGTCACCGACATAATATGTAAGTAATACGGTGTGATTCAGGTATCTTCACTTGAAAGATGTACACTCTTTGGACATGTTTTCGAACCAGACATTGATAGCTGTAAAATCTTCTACTGAGACTCAGTCTTTTATCGAAGTTGATTTTGATGTACTTCTCATTGAATTTTCTGTTCCAAGTTGTGCGTTTAAGGTTGCTGATCCAGCGAGGACGGGTAAATTCCAGCTCAAAGTTGGTACTGCTAACTACTCTCCTCTGAATGTTTTCCTATGCCCATCCTACGCCTACGTGTTCTCGAGCATTGAAGAAATACTTTTCTCAGGTCTGCCTTCGATTTATCTCAGCCATTTAAATCGGAGCTGGCAAAATGCTTTCCTCCGAGGTTTTGCCCAATGTACATGAATTTTCAGTTTTTTTTTCGAATGTCAGTGCGTGCGTTTAGTTGAACCCCTGCATGAATCAGCGATATAATTCACTCGTGTTTCTTAAGTTGATAACGGACTTGTTCCACTCAGTCTTCTAGGTAGCGGAATTGTCCAAGGTGACCGTAAGTTTCCGCTTACTACACCTATATGTAAGAACCCTTATACTAAATTGAGGGAATTATAATAAGGTAGCCTTGAGTAATACCTGCTTAAAGTAGACCTCGAAGCTCTGAAGGCTGCGTGATCCAAAAAGAACATTGGCGGCAATCCCAAATTCCAATGTAGGGGATCTAACTTAACAAAGCAAAGAGGGTTTTCAGAACCTATTGTTTATGTTCTCCACAGAATATAGGAAAACAACTGGAGAACTTGTCGAAACAGGAGCATTGACGATTGCGTTCCCCTTTATCGTGCGAATTAGAGCTCACACAGCCTTGAGTAAATTGGGTTTCTGACGATTCCTAATAAGTGATCAGTTTGATGGCTTTGACTTTTTCTCGAAATTCGCCGTGCACAGTTGAAAATATTATATGACTAAGAAGATAATATTTCTCGTGAACACCTCTCCGTATGATTTTTTGTTCGGACAGTAGCTGTGTAGGCTCATGAATCTTCGACGACTCGTTGTTTTTCTAGAAGTTTGATACACGCAAGGCACAGTGATGTCAGACATTTATACATATTCGTTCTCCATGGATGTAATACATTCAGGATGTGTCTAATCTTCGAGGTGACGCGAAGTTCTGTTGCATTCTATTGCTCGTACATTACCAGAAATAATTTTTGGGATATCGTACGTTTCTTTTCTCCATATCAGAGGTGGCCATAAGTGGTTAGTGTAGAACTGTAATAATAAAAAGCGCCATCATTCTTGCGAATTCATTTGTGATCGTACGTATCAATAGTGGCGTGTTCTCATCAAAGATGGGAGAACGGGCTTCGAGCGGTTTTTACAGCGTAGTGAAGTAACACCAATAGGTTGGAGCAATGGAAAGCAAGAGAAGATGGACTTGTCGAGTTGGCTTCTTAATCTCCGCCTCATGTTACTGCTGTATGCGGTATGTTTCTCTAGATACATTGAGTTCCCAAGTGATGTTTGCATCAACATCAGCTCAGAAATTATGACTTACTGTTGTGAACACAGTCAGAAGAATATTTGATTATTCACTGGGTGGAGGGCTATCTAGTGGGAATTTTCGAGTATTTGTGAAAATCGTCTCACAATGCGCTCATTCGAAGAATCCCTCTACATGACGCTTAGAGGACGCCGTGTCTGACAGGTGTTGATCCAGCTTGTGAAGAGTTTGAGCGAATTCCCTGCACGACGCACCAACTGAAATTCCGTGTTGATTTGGGCCCCTCGTATTCCTTTTCACTTCTTGAATATCTTCTTCTGCCCATGATGACGAAACTGTGTAGTGGCGTCACTAACTGTTTCAGCTTACATTCAAAACAATGTGGAGATCGAACCAATATTCTTTCTCCCACCATCCCTGTGAATGTTTGCGCAGTTTTGAATAAGATGACCTGATAAATGAAGTTCTGCTAATGCTCTTAGGATTTTCTCAAGCAATCATACTTTTTTGATTCAGCGGGAAAAGAGTTTCGTGTGCAAACCTAAAACTTCTTTGCAATTACAACTTCCACACTTTTTGAGATAGATTTTTGGAAACTTATTCGAAGCACCATTTCTTATACTGCTCAGTCTAACACTATTGTTATGGTAATTTGTTACGTGCTATGTGCTGTGCTATAAAGTTATATAGCAGGATTTATAAGCAGGATCGATGGAAGTTGTAGCTCGCATGCCCATTATGTACTGTCGATACAGCGGCGACTGTTGCGTATTTGAACCAACGCAGCTCGCGATGGACATTTTATCTAACGTTCTCAACTGATCATCATATCGTATCGAGTCATATCATTCACGAGAAAGGCTCTGTACAATGGCTGGCTTCCTTATCTGAGCACAAAGAACAATACAGGGTGGCGAAAAATTACGTGCGCCATAAAAACGCTCGAACTTTATTATTCGTATACCAACGTGGAAAGAAAAATATTTTCTTAAAACAACAAACAATGACGTTACACAATCACAACAAATTTTTAAAGTGCCTGCCTTTTGTTTGATACAGACTTCGATTCGTCTTTTCACCGAGTCGACGGTGCGCTGAAGGTAGTCAAGGTCCAAACTGTTCCAGATTTTGAAAACCACCAAACTTTTCACGTTCCTAATCCTTAGTTCCTCTTCCATATAACCCCAAACAGCAAAGTAGAAGGATTCAAATCTGGGCTATTAGAAGGTCACAGATCCTTTGTCAGGAAGGGGCCAGTTTCGGTCTCGAAGAAGTGAATGGTGGATTTCGCTGCATGGGCCGGAGCCCAGCCCTGCTGGAAGATGAAGTTGGGATGATTTTGCTTCCAGGATAGCAAAGCTTTTTCAAGGATATCTTTTTGGTAGAACTTTGCATCAATTTTTACATTTTTGTCTATGGAAATCAACGGAGTCTTGCCCGATGCACTGATACCACACCACCTAGCATTGAACTTTTGTGGAACAAATTTGTGGTATTGTGGAACAAAACAAAGTTTGATGCGAGGGTCCGCGCCAAACGACCGCCTCCGTGTCTGTCTATCTGTGTCTATCTGTCTGTTTGCACGGAAATTCGATACAATCTGAAGAAGCACCTGCAGTAGTCGGGTCAAGTGTGGGATGGGATAGGCATAGGGCAAGGCTAAAGGAGCACATGTGCGCTCGGCGGAGCTCTGCCCACAGGAGGCAGAGCATTTTTAGGAGTGGGCGATGTCACGGGCAGAACTTCTTAATCGGGTTTCATAGCAGCCCAGACATCGGGAAAAAGTGAGCAACAGTGAGGGGTGGGTCGATTAAGTGAAGTTAAGAATATTTATTCTCACACTGGGCGCTGCCCACCGCATAAATTAATAACTCCATCAACTGAAATCGTGGAGGACAGGTAGAGGTAAGAGGAGTGAGCAAGGTTTTTTTCGTGCTGGGCATACGTAAACCTACTGAAGCTCCGCCCACGACGGATGCATTCGAATGTAAATTTCTCTTTTTTTACAGAAAATTCATAACTGTTCAAAAACATTTTAGAACGCGGAAAAATGGTTGGAGGTAATAGAAGAAATACAGCCAAATCTATGAAGTGGGCGGGGTTCGCCTCAAAGTTGGGGGGGGCTACAATTCAAAGCTCATAACTCTATTGAAAAGTTCCTGAAGTCGGGGTAAAAAGTGGATAAAGGTAATAGTAGAAATGCAACCATTTATCTGAAGTAGGCAGCGTTTGCACCAAGGTGGGCTGGACTGAAACAAAAATTCATACTGTGTTCGAAAACGTCGTAGATCGCGAGAGAAAAGGGGTCAAAGACTGTAGAAAGATGTAGCCAAATCCATGAATTTTGCGCGTTTCACGTTGAAGTGGACGGGGTTAACAAGGGAAGGATCCGAAGTCAATGTGGCCATTTAAGTTGGAATTAATATTGCTACAAGTATTTCCTGGCGCTGAATTCAAACCTGCTTTCCAAATTTGTCGAACTTTTCTCCGAACGAAGCTATGGATGTGGTCTTAGGTGAATGCTTAATGCAAGCGAGCACCTAAGCAGGCCATGGATAGAGTTTTGTAATGGATGTGGTTTTTCTACTTTGCGTGACGTTTTTTTCAAGAATCGTGAAAAGGTTATCTTACCATTTTCAGCGGCTTTTTTTGATGCCTGAGGTGGTTTCGTCCTTAATAAAATCATTCAATATCGTCACAGCTTGTGTGTTTGTGTGTGTCCGACTAGAAATTCATAACACATAGGATAGGGAGCAGGTCCTAACTCCGCCCACAGGGCGGGGTTCCCTATAGGAGTAGAGGAGGCAGGATGGGAACACCGACGAGGAAGAGGTCTTAGAAAGCAAATCCATTTACCATTCGAGTCCGACGAGTTCGTTATTTACGACTGTTTCGCTCCGCCTCGATATCATTCTTAGCAAAACTTATCCGACCGCCAATGATCTTGGATTCTAATTTAACCAGTCGGGCCGCCCGTCTAACGCCAAGCTTCCCTCTTTCTTGTGTAAGGTTGTAGTAATCGGCAAATCCACACCTCCTCATTCGGAACAAGTGATATTTTTTGGAACACGAAATCCGATAGGAGAGCAGTAGGACATGCAAATGATATTCAAAATGAGCCGATGCTTATGCCTATGATTAGAAGTCTCATTCTGTTGCTGTTCATCTTAAAAACAATGACCCATTAAGGGTTCAACTGGTAAGCAACCATAGCCTTGAATGGTACCTGCAAATGTTCTCAGCCATACCATCATCAAATGTCTTTATCAATAAAACATCTCTTCTCCACGGATATACCATTGAATGAGAATCCGAAATTATTAGAGGTCGGATAAGTTTTGCCAAGAATGATATCGAAGACAAGAGAAACAATCGTAAATAACAAGATCGGAAAGTGAAAATCGGTAAGTGGATTTGCTTTCTGAGATCTCTTCCATCGTCAGTGTTCCCACCCTGTCTCCTCTACCCCGCCCCCTGCCGCCAACCATAAGTGTTCTCGTCTCGCCGACTGGACTCCTTCCAAATTTGAACGTTCTAGGTCCACGGGGACAGGAGCTTTGATTTTCCGCTCAAACATTCATTTCGCACATGCTCCGCATCCTGTGAGCGGCGTCCGGTCCTGCCACCCACGATCAGTGTTCCTATCCTGCCTCCAGTACTCCCACCAAGTTTGAACACTCCAGGTTCCCGGAGCAGGAGTAATGAATTTCAGGTCAA